TCATGCTGCGACCACATGGCTCGAGGATGTGGTCCGAGGCGTGTGCCGCAGCCACCAACTTGGACGGTCTCGACTCCTTCTTCAAAGGGGGTCTCTCCGCCCGAGTGTTTTCCTCGGCCTCCGCTGCACACGCCAGGGCACGTCTGGCCCTTCGACGAATCAACGAAGCTGTGTCATCAATTTTGTCCGTCTCAGGCTCCCGCCCCACCAGCCCCCTCCACGCCAACTCCGCCGCCTCCCCCGCCCACGAATCAGCACAGGCGTTGCCAGAGGCATAAAAGAGTTTCTCGAGCGTGTCTAACTTCTCTGGGGCCTCCTCTTGGTGGGAGGGGAACCAAACAACTTCCACATCAAGATTCCTCCTGGCCTGGAAGGCAATGCGGGCCCTGGTCCAGAGGTCTTCGTTGGCACCCACAGGGTTGGGCCTTCGAAAGCGGGCCCTCCAGGTCCTGGAGATCGTCTTGTGATCTGTCACAAATGTGAAACCCAGCTCTGAATCTACTTGCTCTAACGCCAGGCAGAATGCTAAAACTTCGGCTCGGGGGACCGTTTGCTTTTCTCCGAGCAGAGGAACCCCGAGAGCCTCCCCCAAGGTCCACCCGCCTCCCGAATCAAACACGAGCCCCACGATCGCTGCTCCGCAGCGTCTCCGTCTGGGGTCGTCAGAATATTTGCCCCCCGAGCCGTCACCAAAAACGTGAACTCTGCCTGACTCCGTGCATTCGGCGAAACCGTGTGACTTAAAATCCAACTGCAGCTGGCCGAGGAGCGCTTCATCGAACTCAGGAGTGGTGAGCCCAACGGCTGGTACTCCCCGAAGCCAAAGAGCAGGCGACGCCTCGTGCTGCGCCGCCGCCTGTACCACAAGCGCCTCCGACTTCACGAAATCCTCGTGCCCCTTGTTCTGCTCACATTCCCAAATGCGGTGATACAAACTCTCTTCTTTGAGCTGGCAGCGCGGGCAAAGCTTGGAATCAATAAGGTATCCTCGTCTGGCGCGCGCTCACTCGGGTCCATTGCCCACCTGTGGTGACTATCAGGTTGAGTGCCGCCAAATCTGAAGCTCCTTCATTGTGGAACTTGCGCTGCTCTGCCCTGATTCTCCATACATCCGCACCTGGGAGCAGGTCAGCTCCATCCTCGTGCTTCGACGCCTGCTGCCAGTACAAATTGCGCATGTCGCTGACCACGTCTGCCAAGATGGCGAGTCTCTCCCAATCGTTCGTGTGCTCCGTGTCAGTGCCGCTGGGGATAAGCCAAGCCTGCAACTGTCCATCTGGTAGTGGTCTGTCCCACTCTGTCGCCTTGATGGGGTTCCAGCCTATGTCCATCAGCGCGGCCTGCAGCGTGGCGATCGGGCCTCTGACATAGGCCCACCTCCTCCGTCCAGCCGTGATCAATCGCTGTCTGATCTTGGCCCAGGCTAACTTGACTCTCGCGTGGATCTGAGGATTCATCTGCCACATCGCCAGCCACTCGTGAACAACTCGTTTGCGCAATTCCAGACCTGGCCCCTTGTCCCACATCTCAATTGCAAGTGTTGTCGTCAGACATTTGCCCCCTTGAGAGCCTGCTGCGATCTGACCCGCCTGTCTTCTTAGCTTCGCCAGCTCCGTCATGGAAAGGCCGAGCGCTTGATTTCCGTATGTGGCCTGGGGCAGGGCGCCCGTAGACCAGAGTCCTTTCGCTTCTTTTGCCAGGGTAGTGCTTTTCCTCAGCCTCTTGATCTTGGCGAACCGTCTCTTAGCTGCCAGTATTCGTCTCTTGAGTGTGCGAACAACTCGTTTACGCCCAGCAGAAGCGTCGAGGCCTAGGTCCTTCGCGTATGTGTTGGCCTTGGCGGGGGTACCGTTCTGCTGCAACCTCTTCGCCGCGCTCTTGACCATGTCTCTGCTCGAGCCGATGACGACTGTCTTGTCCGAGATCTTGAGCCTCTGTTGACGAAGTCCTTGGGCGAGCTCGCAGGCCACTCTGACCATCTTGTCTGGGGTCTCCAGTGCCGTGCCCTCCTCTCCGAGCCACAGTGTCATCGACGAATGTCCAGAGTCCAGCCGTCGGTGATATGATATGCGCTCGCTGTAGGATTGGGTGGAGGAAAACCTTCGCGAGGCTGACACCTCTGGGTGACCCCGCAACTATCGATCTGGATACCCATATTGCCTCACTCAGCGACGACTTGTCTTTGAGAAAGCGAGCCGCCGCGAAGATGAGTACTTCCATTTCCACTACCACTGTTGGATAGCCGATGCCCCAAGCGATGCGCATCAGCAGCACCAGGCTGACGCTGTCGTAGAACTTCTCGATGTCCTCCAGCAGGGCGAGGCTGGGGATGCCCAGCTCGTATCCCGCCTCGCCCAGGCAGGCGCGGAGCAGTCCCGCTCGCAACGCCGAGCTGCCTTTGAGGGCCGTGTCCCAGTGCGCGCTCAGCGCCTCGCTCCATTCGCTGCAAGGTGACGCCCTCGTCCTGCTCCAAAGTTTGACTGGTAGGGGTAGCATCCCCAGCACTCTCTCACCACCTGCTGGCCTAGGGACCACAGCCCCGAGTGTAGCCGTCC